TGTTTTATCGAATAATGATGAATTTATTTAATTATTATTATGATTCAAAAACTCTGATAACAGTATTTTTATGATCTATTAAATACCATCAAGAAAATTGAGGTTGTCTTTAAACAGCAAATGTTTATGAAACTTGTTTTATAAAAGTATAATAAGATTTTATGCAGGTTTGTTTTATCTAATAATGATGAATTTATTTAATTATTATTATGATTCAAAAACTCTGATGACAGTATTTTTATGATCTATTAAATACCATGGAGAAAATTGAGGTTGTCTTTAAACAGCAAATGCTTATGAAAATTGCTTCTATAAAATAGAATAAGATTTTATGCTGTTTTTTTTAATGACGAATTTATTTAATTATTATTCTGATTCAAAAACTCTGATACTTTCATGATCTTCAAAAGCCGTATCGGAAATTTAAGTTGTTTTTCAACAGCAAATACTTATTAAAATTGCTTGATAGAAGTATAATAAGATTTTAAGCCCCTTTTTTCAATGGCGAATTTATTTAATTATTATTATAAATCAAAAACTTTGATGACAGTACTTTAATAATCTTCAAAAACCGTGGAGAAAAATTGAGGTTGTCTTTAAACAGCAAATGCTTTTTTAAAATTGCTTTTTAAAAGTATAATAAGAATTTATGAGGGTTTTTTGTTTTATAATGATGAATTTATTTAATTATCATTATAATTCAAAAATTTGAATAATTTCTATTTTTTTTTTGGAATTAAATTTCAAAGTAAAATTATAATTTTTTTAAAATTTATTTTAATGTAAAAAATATGATGAATTTCAAAATAAAATTTTTTTATGTAACAGTGACGAAAAAAATATGCTACATTTTTCTAATTTATTTAATTTTAAAATAAAAATTATGGTGAATTTGTGAAATAAAAAATTTCTTTAACTTTAAAGGAAAAATTGATTTTATTTTATTTTTATTTATATTTAAATTAAAATAATAAATTAATTTCTGAATTATCTTTTATTTAATTTCAAAGTAAAATTACAAGAAAATTCTGAATCAAATTTTTTATTTAATTTTAATGTAGGAAATTTGAGGAATTTCTAATTAGGAAGCTCTGCTCCCAAACTCCCTTCGTTACTTTATTATTCCTTATTATTTTTTTCTTGAAAAGTCGATAGAAAATCATTTTCTTTGTAAAAGAATTACAGTGCTGCCTACTACTCGCTTTTTGGAAAATATTTTATTGAGTATTAAGCAATTAAAAACTGAACTGAACTGGACTAAAACTGAACTTTAAAAACTGAAACTGAGATTTCATAAGCCTGGACACAATAGAGTGGAAACAAAGTGGCGTTTCATATAAACTATTGAATCATTCTTATGCAGTGGTGTAAAAAATAAATTTAAATTAAATTTACGAAGCAAAAATATATAACAAAAACATATATTGAGTCGTGGTGGCTCAGGGAATCGAGCGTTCGCCTTATAATGACGCGAACCGGGTTCGAATTCCAGTCGATACGAATTCCGCATCCGTCTTACACCGACCACAGTGCTGACGTGAAATATCCTCAGCGGTAGACGGATCATGGGTTAGAGTTCCCTTGCCGTTAGGCTAATCATGGGAGGTTTTCGCGGTCTTCCTCTCCATGTAAAGCAAATGTGGGTTAGATCCATCAAAAAGTCCTCCACGAAGGCAAATTTCTCCCAATACTCGATCCAGGAGTTCCCTTGTCTTCTGGATTGGGTTCAAAACTACAGGGCTACGGAATTGAACATTCGAAGTCGTAAACCCAAAAAATTGGATCAGCTGTTCAACGACGGTTGTAATATAAAATGTAAAATAAAAAAAACATATATTGAGTCGTGGTGGCTCAGGGGATAGAGTGTCCGCCTTCCAATGAGGTGAACTGGGTTCGAATCCGAGCAATAGATGGTCGATATGAATTCCACACCCAGCTCGCATCGACCAATGTGCCCACGTAAAATATCCCTAAAGATACATGGATCATGGGTTAGAGTCTCCTTGACGTCAGACTAATTGTGGTAGGTTTTCATGGTTTTCACGGTAGCATAAATGCGGATTACTTCCATCAAAAAGTCCTCCACGAAGACAAATTTCTACCAATACTTGATTCAGGAGATCCCTGGTCTTCTGGATTGGGTTCAAAATTACAAGGCTACGGAGTTTAACATTAGTAGTCGTAAACCCAAAATTGGATCCTACGCCTATAAAATAAAATTAAAAAATATATATATATTTAGCTACCACTGTAAACAATTTTCCAAAAACAGTTGAAAGTTAACAGTCCTGTATTTATATAACTTTATATAAGCACATTTGGTTAATATGAATTCAAAAAATAATAAACTGTACTTGAAATTTTTTTTTTACTTGGGAATACAAATGTGCTACGCGATATAAAGTAGTATATGGGAAGTAATTTTATTTGTCAACTTTTAACGATAAAATTTCAATATAAATTTTGATTTTACAAGATCTTTCACTCTTGTTTAAATATTTTTATTATTATTACTTTTGACACCAACTCAGATGGGAGCTTAGAGAATGAAAATTCGCAATAAATTAATTTTCCTACAACAATTCAACAATGGATAAATAGTCATTATTTTAAAAAAAAAACTGGAAAGGAATCGGAGTGGAAACACTAAAAATTGGAATTATTTTCGAACAAATTGGAATTTTTAAAGAAAAAAAAAACAATTTCACGTTATTTCATAAATAAAATAGCACGTCACTTTCAGCACCTCAACTTTCAATTTTGTAATTGCATTTCTAGGAACTGTATAACGGTTTCACATGGTATTTTTAAAAAAAATTCTGAGAAAATAACATTTTCTTATTAAATACGAGAAATTTATCAAAAATATAAAGATTGAAAAACTGTTTAATAGCTCTAAGAATTTAAATTTGTAAACCTATATCATTTATGAACACCATTACTATGAAAGAAATGCAAATTAAATATTTTCAGAAGTAAAGAAAAGATTTAGCATTTAAAGAAAAAAAGAGACAATGCAAAAGTTTTTTTTCAGAAAACTGAGATTAAAATTACAGTAGAGTCCCGATTATCCGAGTTAATGGGGACCGCAACAAACTCGGATAACGGAAAAACTCGGTTAAAGCGAAGAGTATAAAAACGGAAAGAAAAAGAGAAGGTATATATGTTATATATTTAAGAAATACGAAATGTATACGAGTATACCACATACAATTCATATTATGATTAAAAAGCTTACTTAAAAACATTTAAAAAGCATACTTTAAAGGAATTAAATCGTCTTTACTTAAAAAATGTCCTTAATAGTTTTTCGTTCTACGTAACTTTGGCGCTTTTCTGTAGTAATGTTTCGCCTTTTTTAGGGATAACAGGAAGGCTGGTGTCGCCTCTTTTTGTTGTTCTATATATTCAATAGTACATTCGATGACTTTTAGTCCATCTGTATGAGAGATTTTTATATGTTGATTTTAATAATCACTGTCTTCATCATCTTCGCTAGATTCATTATCATTATTTACGATATTAACGATGATTTCATCAGACCAAGTTGTTGAATTTTGTTTTTCTGAGTGTTTGGAAGATAAAATTCAGATTTTTTTTTTCCAATGGCAGGCACTGAATTTGAATCTTTGCCTATACTATGCCGGAATTGTTGCTCATTTCGCGTTACCCAGAGGGCACCTGTGAACCAAAGTCACGGAGGCGAGCAACATTGCCCACGCCACACTGCCACAAACCCGTTTATAGGGTGGGCCACATTCACACATCATGCACACACACACAACAGAGGACAGCACAAAGAGAGAGAGAAACGTCCATGCCCAGAGCGGGATTCGAAACCGCAGCCTATGACTTCGCAGTCAGGCACGCTAACCGCTCGGCCACCTGGCCGTCATAAAACTCAGATTTATTTTTCAGCGGTTTTTTTAAAAATAAACTAGAACAAAAAAAAATCTTGAAATATTTGATAGCTCGGTTAAAGCGGAAACTCGGATAATCGGGACTCTACTGTACTTCTTTTCTAAGTGAGTAAAAAAGCACAAATTCAAGGTTATAAAATATGCCTAATTAACTATTTTTGGTATCTTTAAAAAATTTTAGAAAAAATACAGAAAAGGGACATTGCACCATTTGTAATATCTAATACTAAAAAGGCGGGTATATCGCTATCTAAATTACTAGACATCTAAAATAATTCATTCTGTTGCCTTAATTCTGTTATACGTTGAGTATATATTTTTAATTAGGGGCCAAAAGTCCTGTTCGCAGCCGCTTAAAAAGACCGATGATTGCTTCGCTCTATTGTTTCTTAGTTTCTTAGTGATTCACTTCAAATTAACTCTTAACGGTATGAAAGAGTTTAATGCTTACTTCTCTAAGCTATTTTTCATACAAAACTGTGTTATTTTTACATCAAATGTAGAAAACAAAATATTTATATTTTAGCGAAAATTTCTTAATATATTTTTAATAATTAATAATTTATTGATTAATGATTAATAATTAATTATTTTTGAATGCACAATTAAATTAAGGATTAATAATTATAAATAATTAATTTGCACAACGATGTGATAAAATAAATTGACTCTTAAGGGTGGGAAAGAGTTTAATGCTTACTTTTATTTATTAATTAATGAATTATTAATTAATGAATTATTAATTAATTATTAATTAATTAATTAATTATTAATTAATTATTAATTAATTAATTAATTATTAATTAATTATTAATTAATTATTAATTAATTATTAATTAATTATTAATTAATTATTAATTAATTAATTATAATTTAATTATGAATATGACGACGATAAGAGGGATAAAAAGTTTTTTTCTACTATTTGCGCGGCATTGCCTGAAAGTGACTATGACCCTTATCGAGTGCAATTACTAAGTTAAAGGTAAAATAAATATTTTTTTGGTTTGTTTGTATATATGTTGAAAGATCTTATATACAGCTGATACATTTAAAATTAAAATTTTCATTCTTTTTCAGATCAAGTACTTCATGGATCCAGCAGTTCATGCTTTGCAATACTTAGACGTGATACAAATGAAAGATACCACACATAAATCTCATTTCTACCTTAGTCTCAAATCCGCTCTACCCACCATCCCAAAAGTAAGATTATTACGCAAAATTGTTTTTTTTTTAGTTATTTAAAATAAATTATATGGTTGAGAACTCACATTTAAGTCTTAAATTATAAATTCTCATCTTCTGCGTCTTAACATTATGAAAAGGTAATTTTTGAATATCAACAAATCTTTTGTCTAGGCATTAAAAAGCTAAACATAGCTGGGTGGTAATCAAAATTCCATTTCAATTACAATTAAAACTATTTGACTATGAAAACTGCTTTTTACTTTTAAAGAAAATACATATTTTACTTGTTTATGTCGTTTTTTTTAGTTCTTCAGCAATGCTGAATTATTATTATTTTTTGACTTTAAAATGTATTATTAACTGTTTTAGAATTGTATAATTTTCTTAATTTACAGGAATTTATAACAGTTAAAGTTCGTTTCGTTTTGCCGAAAATACTCCCACAAATGGAAATCCCTGTCTCGATAAAGATCGTTTTACTTACATATTTTCTTGATTTTTGACTGTGCTATTTTAAATCTTGAGATTCTTGAAATTTTACTTATTTAAAAAGGTAGACCAGCTGGTGTAAGGTGACTTTACCAGAAAGTGTAATATTCTGTTTTTCTTTTAAAAAACTACTACTTTACTAAAATAAAGTAATTCTGACTCCATTTAACAAAAGTAAAACAAGAAGCATAACTTTTTTATTTTACACAAAAAAATGTGTTCTTTAATGTCCATAGCAACCGTTGATATAAATTTTAACTTACATATACTCAAATAACAAATAAGTAAAATCTGGCTTACAACTTACATATACTCAAATAACAAATAAATAAAATCTAGCTCACAACTTGCATGTACTCAAATAACAAATAAGTAAAATCTAGTTTACAACTTATATATACTCAAATAACAAATAAATAATATCTAGCTTCCAACTTACATATACTCAAATAATCAATACATAAAATCTAGTTATTTTAACAGCTGGTGTGGTTAGTTGCTAATAAAAAGTAACATTTTGGTGCTCCACATGGCATTTTTATTGAGAGATAATGATAAGACACGGAAGCTTTTAAAATGAATTCCCTTCTCCTGACCTAGGCAGTAATATACCACTACAAAAAATAAATAAATTCTTTGTTGTGAAGCGTCTCCTCACGTTTTCCGTCTGTAGCAGCAAACTTGCATCAGCTAGGACATCTGACTGAATTAATTCTAGGAATTATGATTGTTTTAAGTCCTAAATGTATGAAATCGAATCACAAAGAACATTCAAAAATAAGTATATCATATGAAACTAAAATATCTCGATCATAGTATAAAAATTGCAGAAGAAAACAACGTAAAAGTCATTGTTGTTTTAATAAACTTAAGTGTATCAGAACTTTTACGCTAACTTAAAAGTTGCTTATCAACCAAACAACTCGCAAGCGCAATATGGTGAATAATACTATTTCTTCCCATTATTTTAACTTTTAGTTTAGCAACGATTCTGAGAAATACCAACAGTAAATTTATTAACTATGTAAACAGAAAAAATTATTTAAAACTAATGGGCTGCGCCCCCTGCTCGCTAACGCTCTCCAACCCCCGAAAATTGCTACGCCATCTTATATGGTTTGCTTCGCAAACCAAGCTCGCTACTCACTTAGGTACATTGCAAATGCACAAAATTCTAAGAATTCAAAACAATCATTCAAATCCATACAAAAACTTTTTTTTAAAAAAAAATTACATCTTTTTAGTAAATACTAAGAAATTAAAATAAATTTGAATTCAAATAAATGACATGTAATTCGTTAAACCTATTAGAAAAGTGCTATATTCGTGATATAAATCAAAAATCGTCAAATAAATTCGTAATATATAAATTCGTGAAAAAAAGCGCTTTCGACAAAATACTAAACTAGAGATCTATCGACAAAGACTACTCACTTCTGCCTAGCTTAATAGCATGAGATTGCCGCAGCTGATGCTCTCTGGTTATTTCAGTTTCTGTTTTTAAAAGCGCCAAATGTTGAGCCACCTCAGCTAGATTTGGCATGCGACATTTTTAGCGGCAATCATTGGTTGATTCTCCGTGTAACAGAAATAGTAACGTAAAACGTAAACAAAACAAAGCAAACGCTGCCACCGGCAAAAAAGAAACACAGCCAAAATTTGGGAGCCACGTAAGAGAATTATACATATTAGATATTAGATAAGTTTCTCTTAGGTTTTAATAAATATAATTGCATTATACATTTAATGAAGCCTTTAAGTGAAGGAATATGTCGCAAAAAGAACCAATTTAAGTATGTATTAAGATTAATTATTTTTCAAAACTTTATCACATAATTTCGTTGCTTTTTATCTTTCAAAGTAAAATATCCTACATTTTTAAATGGCTAACCGCTGTTTCACATCAAACTTTTCAATGGGATGCCTGCAAGTGACGTTCTGTAGGTGTATCGATCCTGATTGGTTGTTGAAACGTGGCTTTTGCTTATGTTGGCAACTGTTCTTTCTATTCCATTACGGATGAACCAACCCCGACATGTATCGATTCTCTCAACTGATGCATTCTATAATCCTTGACAAACATTCTTTCATAAAGATTTCAATTCTTTCACTATATATTTCTTACTTAACACAAAGGATGGCACGAAGACATGTAGAACATAAACAAACTAATTATGCATCGAAGTTGCCAGCTACACAAAACAAAAACATATCACGGTTGCAATACAATACCTAAACAAACTATAAATCCGAAAAAGAATTATATTTCAACAAATTTGATGTGCGATACGGAGCTGTGTTTAATTAACATGTGGAGAAACTTAGGTTAACTTTAACACACCATTTTGCATATTAACTATCAGCTGACATCATACGTCACGTGTGGGTGATCTTCTCGTGATCTTCTTCTCGAAGTGCAAGTACCCAATATATATAGTTGAGGCAAGATGCGTAGCGTTTTTAAAAAGTGCTTAAATTTGCTTATTTTCGTTTTTTAAAGGCCCTTATAGGTGCTTTTATCATTGGCTGTTTTTAAAGAGTGCTTAATTTTCCCTTTTCGAAAACGAGATTTATTTATTTACCATGTCGATTTTCGCCACGTATTATGCCAAAGGTTGCTTCTCACATTGGCCTATTCAACGTTTTCACAATTCATTCAAGCACAATCGATTTCGGCGTCCCGTGTTTCCATAGCGTATGAAAGCGCCAATCATTTTACACGTTTGATGAAATAAATACCTGTGAGTCCGCATGTGCATGTACTGAGCTGGATTCGGTGAGATTATTGCACACTCATATGCAACTCTGCTGCATTCTCAATTTCCGGCTTCTTTTTCCACCCTCTGATATCGAAGAGAAAAATCTCTTGATCATTTTATAATGGCTAATATAATCAATAAAAAAGAGTTCTTTGTCAGAAACTAGTTATTTTATCATGATCATTTAAGGTCTTGGAAAATTATTTAGCATTTTGTTAACGTATGCAGATAATAATATTTTAGAATATTTTTGAGTGCTTAAAAGATTTAAAAGGTGCGGGAAATTAATTATCTTGACATCTACAAACTACCAATATTTTACAGTTGCAGTCAAACCCCGCTATAGTGAACCTTCAAGGGACCGAAATTTCTGTTCTCTATAACAGGGAGTTCACTATATCCGATGCGCAGGCAATTTAACTAATGGATCCCAAACTCCTCCCTTTAATTACACATTGTTCAAATAAATGACTGAAAAATATTATGTAGTAGCAAAAAATTTGTTATTTTCCATTACTCTTTGTCTTGCGTACAAAAAATTTTTTTATTCTTTAGCTGATGAGCAATCCTCAACATCAAATTTGGAAAAACTTCCCGACTTTCAGATAATTTTTCCTGAATTTCCGTTATTCCGCTTTTAAACCTGTCTAACTTGCCATTCGAGCACATAAAAGTAGTCTCATAAAATCGCTTAGCAAATTCATCGACATTTGTGTTGTCCAGATACTTCGATTGGCGAACCACTTCAGTAATGCTTCTTCAACATCCTTGTCATCTGCTTTTCTCAACTTTTTTCTGCCATCTAAATTTTTTTCGTGAGCAGAAATTATTAATTGCCCATTTTTCAATATGTTACAAACTGCAGATTTGGATAGTTAATATTCCCTGCAAATATCAGCTTGATTGCATCCATTTTCAATTTTTCTGATTATGCCCATTTTATCATCAATGTAGAACGTTTTGCGTTTACTGCTCGCCATAGTTAAATTTGAGACACTTGTTTGCAGGATTTTTTAAACTGAACTGAGAGCAAAAAGGAGTTGAAATGAGGGCCCTATCAACTCATATTAGTGTCCAACCCTTTGACCAATAATGAATAATTGCTCATTCCCTCTGACATAAAATGCATATTGATCTGACTGACACATCGTCTGCCTGGGTTGGAAACATCTGCTTTGTTTGTTTAGGGCTTGGAAAGTGATATGAACGAAGCAAATAAGAAAAAATGCTTATCGCTACATTCCCCTCCATAGTAGGTTTTGAAAATCGGTATATGTATTTTTTTTTTTTTTTTTGAAGTAGAAATTTCAAAATTATTACAAAAAAAATCAGTTGAAGACAGAAAAAAGTTCATTATATCCAACTTCCTAACTTTTTTGGTTCACTTTATCCACAAAAAATAGCCTTATCCGCGTATAGCAAGGCACGGAACCGAACATTTCGTTCACTATATCCGGGAGTTCACTATAGCGGGGTTTGACTGTATTTACCAGTTAATATTAAGTTTTTTGTTCACTCATTAAACCCATTTCGAGTTAGTGAACAGTTTACCTCTTATTTCATGAAAACCATGACTCGAATTGCATACGATCTATTCGTATTAATGGTTATAGATTTTCATCAAATCCATCAAATTATCTAGTTTCAGGTCGTCCGTTGTAATCAAATTCACTTGGCGAAGCAGACAGACATGTCAAAATGCAATTTTCATCTTCGTAATGGATGATACTTGATGATTTGGCGAACAATATTTGTAATAGCTGCTTT